TCCAGCATACCACAAAAAGCAGTCCACCAGCATGTGCTCGCCAGGCCGGCAGGCAAGGTACAAGGTAAACAGAGCAAAAAAGAACCTGAGCACGACGAGTTGATCCGGGATCTCCAGCTGGGTTCGTTAAGGACGCACTCAACGTCCTTTCTTCCAGCCGCAGGGAGACATAACGCAACGTATTCATCCATCGAAAAACATGTGACGCCGGTGGAGTCACCGTGCGAAGACCCGATTTGAACCCGAGGAAAAGGAGAGTGCCTTCTAGCGCTTCAAAACCCCTTAGGGTAGCATAAACGCCTCTTTGACCCCCGCCTCGGGCCGGCTAATGCTCCGAGCCAAATCGTTTTCGGCAACCTCCTCCTCCTCCTCAGGGACGACCTGGGTCCCTCTTGAGGGCACCGCCACCATGCCCGCTGAGCCGTACAAATGACCTGTGACAAAAGGATGGATGAAACCCTAATTTAAAAAAAAAAAAATTTTAAACCTCGTTTGCGTCAAAAGAGTTCCCGGACCTTTTCACCAAGCGACTCCTAAGCTGCCTTGATGGTGGTATCTATGATGATGTTGAAGCAGGGCTGTGGGTCGTAAAAATAGAGCCGGGTATCAACTTTCCTCTCCCCTTTAGCATGCTGTGCGGGTTCAGCATGCAGACATTTCCTTCTTTGCTTTAGCTCACTTCTCTTCACCACTTTTTCATGTACTGGGTTCCCTCTCGAGAAAAAGCCTACCAAAAGACGCCTGGGCATCAATACTTCGACACAGCAGTCTTTGAGTTAAAGAGGGATCCTTGTAGTAGCATATGAATTAAACAAGAACAGGAATGTTGATAAACATGCGCCGTATTTGCAGCAACGTGGGGACGGAGACACCCGACGTCGCGCGATCACGGTGACTGACAGGCAGGGACCAAATATAGTTTTCCCACGGCCGTTGCTTTCAGGAGCAAGTGCTTCAGCTCACAAAATAACTCCCGCCGCGCAAAAACGTGGTTTCGTTTCACAGCATGGCTGGCCTGGTACCCGGCGCGCTACCGTCGAAGCGTCCGCACACGCCTGCGTCTATCCTTGAAATTTTTTTAAAAAGACGCGAGACGAGACTTACGAGACGACGGGAGTGCGAAACGAGAGACGGTGGGAAAAGCCATGGAAGACTGGACGGACCATTGATGCTGGGTACTTTGTGTCGGGCGGCTGCTTGTGCCACCTAGCTCGCACATGCTCAATTACGGTAGTCAGTTTAGTTTTCGTTTTGAAAAGCCACAAAAATTGGTCCTTTGGCGCAGGCTTGGTGCAGATTACCCATATTTTGACAAAATGTAGCAGGATGTAGCAGGGTTCGCCCCTTGGCGCGGTTTGGCACAATTGGCGCAGCAATCGCATGACTGCATAAGTGAACAGAACCAGATTCAAAACACAAAGCTATGAGAAAAGGCCAGGAAAAGTTGCTTTAGAGTCACTAACAGTTCATGGACAGTACCTCTAGGGCAGGGGTGCACAACTCAGAAATGGTGCGGGCCAAAAAAATGTTTATTGGGAACTGCGCAAATTTTCAATATCTGGCACAGGTCTTCAATATCTGGCATCATCGCACTGGTTGCCACCTTGAGCACATCTTGCAGTGTCATGTCCATGGGCTGCATGTTGTGCACCCCTGCTCTAGGGCATTTACAGATGGCAGCAATTCGCTACAGTGATGGTTGTTTCATATCTGACCTGATTTTACTGCGCGCTCATGGAAAGAGATGTAATGGAGCGACACCGGGAGGTCGAGTAGCACATGTTCCATAAATGCACATCATAGCCCATTGCCAAAGTCACGTTGATATGACGCTACGGAGGTATTCGACCAGAAGTTTAAACTCAGCACATTCTGCAGAATAGTTGATCTGAATAGTCTTCCCTCACAGTGTACAAAAACATAGTATGTGCCAAGTGAGCTAAAAAAGGCTTACTGCATTCGATAAACATGTGGCGGGGAGTGTGCGGGTCAAAAGGGACAATGCCTCAGTGATGGTTTCCAGGAACACAACAAGATCATGTCACCGGCTGAAGGGACGCTTCACATCGCTGCACTCCATGCCAGAGCCTGCCAAGGATGGGCCACCAAACTTCAGAAAACATTGGCTGCACCATCAATATTATGATAAAGGGTGTCAGTGTAATAACAATATTGAACAACATGAAAATGCTCCACATGTAGTGCTATTACGTGACGTTTGACTCTCAACTCAACTCTCTGATGTCACGCTAATGCGATGGCACTGCTGTCGGCACTGCGCATATGCAGACGCCTCGCCCTGGGCAAATCTTGTTCCTGCACGCACGCAGTGCCCACACCTGGTGTGGGCAAATGCGGCTTGTTTGTAAACAGTGTGTTCATCGATAAAAAGATGTCACCAAATAAAACAATTATCCCAGATAGTGTAAGGAGTAGGAATATCCAGTAGAGTAGATTGTTGGGCTAGCTGGTTTTGAAACTTGGAATACATTATATCAGAAACTCGGATGGTATAAAAGTGTTGTTTCATGTAATAAAATCAGTTGTTAGTAGTGCATTGTGCTGTCTGTTTCTCGTCTCTTTGTCCTTGTTTTATGAGCGCTAAAACGTATTCCTAGGAATATCCGGTGGTCGAAGCGTGCGGAAGTGACCGTACAGGACTAGAGCGAATAAGACACTGGTGTCTGCTGGAATGTTTGCGCTCCAGCAGCCATCATAGATCAACTTTGACAAGTCAGCAGAGTAGCCTGCATGGATCAAGCATTTCGACAATTACCACTTTGCCATTAGTATTCATGGGTATTAACAAAAAAAAAACAGTGAGGTGCAAGTCTGCACGCTTTCGTACACAGGGGACGACATGCGAGGGAAGTATTTGCAGTGTTTGACTTGTCGGCTGAAGACGCCCTGCAACAACTTTTTGAAGGGGCCCTGCAACAACTTTTTGAATGGTTTTTCATTTGCACCGAACCTGAGCGCACTGAACATAGTAAATTAATTAAACCTTTATTTTCTCGAGTTTCGCTTTATTTCAAAAGTGATAGGCAAATTAAAATTAGAAAAACAAGCAAAGAATAACTTCCTTCATGATGTCGTTGGTCGTGGCCTGAGTGGCTGTGAACTAGAGGAGACGTAGGGAGATCAGAGAGCGCTCACGCGTCTCCTATAGACGTGGAGTGCGGCAACATCAACGGCTGCCGCACTCCGCGTTGGCGGCTCGAAAGGGCGCCATTAAAGCATGTGTTGGATAGGCTGTATGAAGCGGGCGGCTCACATTGCATTTGCTGTGCGATTAAAGACTAATTCGGCAAGATGCTTCATTGGCCACGAGCGAAAGCAAACATGGGGTAAAGATCAGTTCAGAACGGGAGCCACTTCACGCTGCCATACGGCCAAACGGCCAAATCGCTTGCCAAACCTGCTCGGAGGCCTTCAAAAAGCTCAGAACCTCGAGCCTGTATACGACCGCAGCGCCGCCACATACATCCGAGACCTTTCTTCGCTTGCCACTCGTCGGTGCCTGATCCCATTACCCCTTTCTAGTATGCGCCGCGTTTTTCACCGCTTGGTGGCAAGTATGTCGACGGGTTATTCCTTGTTTCTGCACTTTATAAACTGCATTATTTCTTTTCTGATTTAAAATACTGAACAAACACTACTTTCATAAATAATTGAAACTGTTTGTGCCACTTATATTTTGTATTTCAAGGAAAAAATATTTTTGCGGCTCTGACCATTGATAAGCCCAGGACCAAACACTTCACGTATAGCGCACTTTCGGCACCGCGGGTCGTTCCCGTAGGTGGAGGAGTTTTCCGCATCGTTGGGTTAAAATATGGCGCACTGATATTTAGTTGCTCTCTCCATGCCCGCTGGCTTGCCCGAACCCCAAGAGACGTGGAAACTGAAAAAAGGTTAGATGTTTAAATATGATTGCAGGGTCCCCTTTAAAGGGGCCCTGTTATCGTATTTAAGTGTCTACCTTTTTTGCGCGCTGAGTGTGAGCGCTCGCTGAGCTCACTAACCCTCCTCTTGTTCACGGCCACTCAAACGACCAAGGACATCATGAAGAAGGTTATTTTTGCTTGCTTTTGTAATTTTAATTTGCCTATAACTTTTAAAATAAAGCGAAATTCTAGAAAAGAAAAGTTGAATTAAGTTACTACATTCAGTGCACTCAGGTTCGGTGCAAATTAAAAGCCAGTAAAAAGGCCCTTGGAGGGCCCTTTTAAGGAATGAAACATTGTGTATGAAACTGAATTTTCCCACAGTCAGTGGAGTCAGTAATACAACTACTTCATGACACTCCATGTCATTGCAGAGTGCTCAAACTTTGAAAAGATGAAGCTACACAGGATTCTCTGAAACTCTGCGAATGGATGCAAAATTAACGGTGTCATCAGCATTAGTGAAGACATGCCTCAAGCTGCTGCTGGTCGTACCAGCAGTAGCTTGAGGCATGAGCTTTGAGAGCGAAGGCATTACGCGACGACGACCACAGCTCAACCTGCAAAGACAACCAGCATCCAAGGCTGACATGCTCAGCAAGGTTCTAGAAGTTCTTCAACTGCAAAGAACATATCGGCAGGGCCTGCCGAAAGAAGGAGTCGACTTCGTCCCCGAGAAAGGTAAGAGTTTCTCCAGTGCAACGAGAGACTGGCAAACTTTTTTGGGCGTCGATAGGTGTTCTTGGCACCAAAAACGCACCCCACTGCAATTCTCTTATAACGATACCACACTTAACAATGTACTGCCTATAACGATTAGTTTCTAGGCTAGAAACAATTAGTTTCTAGTCCAGACACATCGATAATTGATTATAACGACTGAATTTTTGGGTTTCCTAATTATTGCTATAAGTGGATTGCACTGTATGTCCAGATTACCCTAAACCCAATACCCATGTTTCCAAAAGTCGATTCGGGGGGAGAGGCCACCACTATACCTTACCCATTAACTAAACTTGGAAAGTCACCCCGGTGTAACAAGTTGTAGCTCACCTCTGAGGCATCCTGGTTGTCTGGGAGTGGCCATCTCCCTTGCCTTGGACTTGAGGTCTGCAGGAACTGGAGCTTTGTGTAGTGGGTCCAGCGAGGCACGTACACATCTTCTGGGCTGGAGGCAGACTTAAGGCTGTCTGTGACTCTTCGCTGTTCCCGATGGTACTGGGAGCGCAGGTTTGCAAATCTCGACTTCACCGCAGCCGCTGGAAAAGGGGCAGGCAGAATGTAACGTGCATGCAACAAACGTGTGGACCAAAGATTGAATAACAATCGTTTTGTCATATGTGACTTGCAGCACGCGAGACTTCAAGGACTACACAAGCACTTCCTGAAGAATGTGAAGTATTCAGAGAATAAGGCGTGTATCAAAGACAAATAAACAACTATCGACAACGGGTGTATTCAAACTATGTCATGATTCAAAAAGAGACTACTAAGCAATGATGGAAAAATGTTCACCCACATCCCCTCTGTCATGTTTCCGAATTTATTACCTCGAACAAGATCTAGTGTGTGAAGCTGGCCAAACAGCCTGTCGGTAACCGTACTGCAATCTACACAAATTAGGGTCTCTGCCAAAGCAAATTATATTTATGAGTCACGGACAAGATTCTTTAGCCCGAGATGCCCTTTCAGGCAGGTAGTGAATACACAAGCTCATTAAACACGCGAATCAAAGTTCGGGGAGATTATATAAATGCCTCCAATCGGTATGCTTTTAGTTACATTAGTTGATGCACCATACCTCTAAATTCTGCAACCAAGCAAATCTTGAAAGCAGGCTTCTACAACACACAACTTACACCATTCGATTTACTATCTCCAAAAAAAAAAAACAGATCACATCACATAAACAGTAAACAACAAAATGGCAGATTGACGTCGAGTCGAGCTGACAGCTCAAAGAATATCGAACACTTAAAAAATTATATTAGCAGAATAGATTTAAATTTCTCGTCTAGTAGAGAAAACAAAGCCTTCGATCTTCGTTCCGTTTAATGTGTGACTTCCACTTGATGTTACTTCGCTCTACCAGTGATTTGTTCGCAGATTTCTACAGGTTCACATTAATAATGCCGATAAGTGAATTCTTCGATTACCACCAACATGATAAACGACCTCTCATTCGTCTATTGAATGGGATGCATAAACAAATTAAGATACCGTTGAAGCTCGCACATTTCAGTTTACGAGCTACGCATACGCCTGTCTACAAGGTTCTCGGAGGAACTAGGGACAGCCATGAAGCCGAGACAACCGCTGAACAATGAAACAAGCAAAGCACATGCACACTGCAGCGAGCCGGGACTGCGCAGTTATTTTGTAACGTCATACACCGTTGACTGGACTGTCGGGATCTGTCCAAAAGCGACGCAGCCTGTTCAATTCGTGGAATTCCTTTCGGAGACGCAAAGACGACGTAACGTCGATCCACTCACCCGTGAATTGTCGCCCCAGTGCTGCGGCGATCTCGGCGTACGCCCTTTCTTTGAGATCCCTCTTGTGGTACGATCGGTCCCTCACGTCCCAGAGGAACCGACGCTTCTCAACCAGCGAAATCATCTTGGATTCCACGTCCACCTTGAACAGACCCGGCTGCATTTCCTAGGCGCAGAGTAGCGCAACAGCGCCCATAAAAACAGCTCGAAGCAGCAGCAACAGCGGCAACAGCACATACGTCAACAAAGGAAGAAAAAATTTGTTTGGCTTTGGATTTGGATTTGTAGCTAGTTTCACTGGCTAGTTTAAACCGATGGCGATGTTGATACGATGTCCACGACGTCAACGATGCCTGGTGGTCTGTGCCATAGAGTTATTATAATGTACGCTAGAGGTTCAACTGGCGCTAATGTCTATGCGACTTCCGGGAGGCAAATTGAAGCAGACAGCAACCAGTCTACTTTTGCGGTGCTCCTGTGCATTTTGTCTCTTCGCCGGAAAATAACATGAATAACTTTTATTATTTCGGTTGTACCGGATAGTATGTACATTTATTAATATTGTAAAAGTGTAATTGCTTTAATTACAGCATTTTTCTTTACCACTGAACGATGTTAAGCTTCGCTATATTTCAGGCCCAAACCTATGTTTCATTGCAGGTATGTAAAAACAAGCGACGATTCTAAGCAAACTAACGATCGAAACGAATGTAGAGTGTGTTCAAGCTTCGCTATCAATGCGGTGGCGCTTATATATTGCTAATATGCCCGTCCGGTCACTCTATGAAAATGACTCCGTCGTGCATCTTTACGACGGTTAAACAACATTCGATTGTTAGAAATAAAGTACGTGGACTGCGAAAGGTATGCCTTTTTATTATCTCCTATGCCGGGCAGTTTTTATCGGGCGCCTGTTTTCCGACTTTTCCTTATTTGCAAATATTTAGAGCGTGCGGTTGATGATTTGAACCGAGAATATGCATCTTTGCACATATTCGTGAGCAGAAAGAATAAAGCAGTACTCATTTATTGCAGATCTGACTATATTACGTGGCTTTCAAGTTATTTTGATCGTCTGCATTCACAGGACGTACTTATTCAGTGGTACTGCGTAGTTTTTGCCGTCTCTTTTGGTTTTCCAGTTGTCCTTCGTTCGTTTGGCACGTATAACCCCATGCTGAAAGCGCCGACGCCGTGCTCGCGCTAACAGTGTCCGACAGTGCACATAAATACACGTACGAAGCGGTTTAAGCGCCGTTTTTCATGCCACACATTTTAAATAAAAACACAGTAACTGACCAATTATTTCGTCTGCGTAACTGAGAAATGTTCGGATGTGCCCAGTACGTACGAATTGTTTGTGATATTTGCTCTTATAATCAAGCGCAGAGAGAAAATGCACTCGCTTTCTTCCATAGAAATGCATTACCGGAAGTCAATTTCGGACTGGTTGCTGTCTGCTTCAATTTGCAGCAGCACACTAGCGCCAGTTGAACCTCTAGCGTACATTATAATAACTCTATGGTCTGTGCGACACGGTGTGACTACACCTTTGTCAACTACAGAATGTCCGCAAAAACAAAAAATAAGTTGCAGTAATTTCCTTTCACTGCAGGGACAAACCACGCATTACTGATTGCTCAATCTCCACCAAGTAACGTGGCCAGACAGCCACCGTAAAAATATCTCAAAACTTATTTCGACGTCTGTGACGTCACTTCATAACAGTCAAATTAGTGTCTTTATTATTTTGACATCATCCATACCTTCAATGCAGCAGCCACTGATCTTACGTCTTCCAAAACGCGAAGCGCCCCACCGCGGCGAAATGCCATGCAGTGCACTCTGGGAACTAGTTGGCCACTCAGTTTCAGTTTCGCTTGAGGAGCTTCAGTTCATGCTAGCGCACCGTGACCGAATGCGCTGCCTGCGTTTTCGATTGTCCGACTTCCCACGAACGTACAGGGTGTCACAAAAGGAACTTTACACGATCTTTTTTACCGGAAAAATAAACTAGGCATCGCCGAACGCTCATTCTCCGCCGAAAGGTAGAGCTAGAGGGCACAACCAGATGCCAAAGTTGGGCTGAAACTTTGGCAACTGGTTGTGACTTCTAGCTCTACCTTTGGGCGGAGAATGAGCGTTCGGCGATGCCTAGTTTATTTTTGCGGTAAAAAAGATCGTGTAAAGTTTCTTTTGTGACACCCTTACAATACTGTAAGCATTTTTGAGGGATATAGAAGCAAGACCGGGGCACTTTTCTTGGCTCCCAACATGTCGGATGTTGTGCCTGTGTATGCAAACGTAATATTATAGTCCCCTCACCCCACCATTGTATCTTCAAGCTCACTTTCAATGATCCATGAACCACAATTGAAAATTGGTTACTTTGAGCCCTACACGTATTTTGTTTGCCAACGTCCGCTTCCTGTTACTATATTGAGCGAAAACGAGCCGTATCCTCACAGGATACTCACGGTTGAGCCCAACGTGGGCGCATGAATAATTCGCACTCAGTACTGCACAAAGGTTACTATGAAGTCCTCTTCGTGTCATCCGATATATCCTACTAAACTTTTATGCCGATTGGAGATTAAGTTTTCTCAAACGCTGAGATTGGCTAGCTACGACGGAGTCCCTGACAAGCGTCCCCTACTCCTCGCGAAGCCTTTTTGGACGAGCCTTTACCGATGTCCACGATCTGTGTCTGAACGGTGGTGCTAAAATTATCTCAGCATTCTCGGTCAGGAAGAAAGCAAACATATAACAAATCTTATGGCCCTTAGCAACTGCCAAATGCGCTTAGGATTCTTTAGTTCATTTGGCTCACCGCATAAGGGTTCACGGCGTATACGTGCTGTCCGGCGAACTGTGCGACATTCTTCACGCAAGGGTTCGACTCTTGCTTTCTTCAAAACGGTTTGCACGTGTGAATGTGCCAATATGGTTCGAAGATAACTTCATGTGATGTTGAATTAGTCGAATCCAAGCGGGTAGGGACTTTACTTCGTGCAGCTGCGGGACAGCTATAAAGAGATAAGAAGTGATATTTTTTTTTTATCTTTTCAACGGCGTTTTCCAGTTTTATCTCGCGTACTCGGGCGTATTAAGAAAGACAGTAACCGAAAAAAATTTAACTTCGTCAATGGACGGTGTTGGAAAGTACTTTAAGTACATTGTACTTAAAGTACTACTTCAAGTAGGCTTAGGCAACTTGTACTTTACTGGAAGTACATTCTCCGAGTATGTACTTGTACTTTACTTAAAGTATTTTTTTCTGATACTTTCCGAGGAAAGTACAATTCCCGACTTCAAAGTACATTGCCCAAATTTGGTTTTGTTAAATTTGTATCATGAAATTATGCTTTGTCAACTCCGAAGAAAAACTGGGAGGGATATTCTACTCTTGCCAGAAACGTGCAGACGACGCATCGCTCCATTTGTTTTGGTAGCGGCTTTACCCGTAGCTTTTGAACTCTCGCTACTTCTCGGTCGGTCAGCGCAAGCGAGGAGGTTTGAAATATTAGGAGAGCGAAATTAATCATAATGTAGCACCTGAGGCTGTGGTGGGGTGCGGAACAACTAAATTTTCAAGTCGAGGTAAAAGAGAACAGTGTGCGTCACAATGTTCTGAGACACTATCTTTAGTATTTTCCTTCTATTTAAAAGTTCCTTTTTTTGCTTTCAAATCTCAGGTGTCACATTATAATTAATTCTCACCAGCGCGCTTGCACACTCACTGTTTTTTGCATTAAGGAGAGGACACTCCTCTATCAGAGGATTGCTTGCGGAATCTACGGGGCTGACGCTATGCTCTCTCCTAGTACGTTTAGCCCCCTTGAGTGCAACAATCCAGTGCACGGGGCGCCAAATTCAGAAGAGGGACTTCTAAATTTGGCTCCATTCCTGAAAATAACTACTCTGTGGCCACTTGACTTTATCAAATATTCGCCACTGTTTTTGAAAAGTGGTCATGCACCCCTGATTACTTCTGGGCCCTGGGCAATGCATACCAGTTAAAAAATCATTATGTAGGGAAATGAAAGGGCATCATGAAAGATTGTGTTAAAATACGTGTTATTTACCTTGAAAGTACATTGTATTTATAGTACTTGACATCAAGTACATTGCACCGTCTCGTTTACTTTGTACTTTATTTGAAGTACCTTTTAGATGTACTTTACCCAACACTGCCAATGGACGCATAAAACAAGTAACAAACTTGCTGACAAGCAACACTAATGTAAAGTTGCGAGCTCGGTGTAAGCGAACTTATTGGTTGTTACAGCGTGTTGACTCGTACAAGGGCCACATCCCCGAGCTTCGCAGCGTCGAGATTCCTAGCACTGGCTCGTCCGCATACCTCGAAACGCTAACAAAAGGGCTCGAGTACAAAAATAAACAAGCATGTGCCAAGACAAGCTTTGCGTATGGTTTGGCCTTGTGCTGAAGCTTCGAGGTCTGGCCATTTTGGTTGGTTAGAGACCCAAAACGATGCACTCGGGACCAGGAAACATGAGATAGCGGTTGTTAATAATCCACGCTCTGTGTATGATCCCTTCTCGACGTGTCGATCGGAACGGAAACCATGCCGCTCTCCTCCCTGGCCGACAATTTCTCAAATGAATGGACGGACGTCAAAGACTATATATACCCTTTGTAACGGGCGGTAGCGCGCTACCGCGCCCAAGTAAAAGACAAAAACATGATTCCTTCCGCCCTTTTAAAGGCCGCCGTACAGTTCGCGCTTTCCACTTTTTCTGCGTTTCCTCCTCTCCTGCCCTCCTTTCCTTCCTTCAACGCCCTCCCCCACCTTGTTACCGCCCTCCCCCGAGAGGACAACACGGGGAATGGATTAGGAGACGCCTCCGTTAATCCGGCCGAACCCGCCGAAGAGGGGGCCTGCTGCTTGACTAAAAATTATTTCGCTGCCCGAAAAAAAAAACAAAAAAAAAACGCCGCGGGCAGCGATTGAATACGCTTTGCCGGATGCGCAACGCTCCGTCCGCCTTGAACAAGCTTTCATGCATTGGACTAGCATTTTTCGAAGCGCGGCAGGTTTAGTGTAGGTCCTATCATATGGTCCTGCAAGACTTCCCTGTCCGCCACAAGCTAGGCAATAATTCAAGAACATAACGACTGCAGCGTATTCAAACAGTGTAAAATAAAATGTATATAATATTTATAAGAACACCGTTGTCTTCACTGCTTGGCTTTCAAATTTTTAGCGTTGCCAATAATCGTTATCAAACTATTTTTATGATTGAAGACAACTCGTCGTGCATCGACCCCAAGATTACGCTTACGT